TCTGTTCAGTTCAGTACCAAGTCCCACCACTAAGAGATCTTCTTAGGCAAGAGTAACTTCATTTTTGCCCCCCCTTAACAAGAGTATGCACAGTGTATCATATCAAGCAGCCATTTATACTCTAAACAGTAATGTCATGGGGTTTGAGCACTTTCTGTGCTTTGCAAGTATCACACGAGGAAAAGGAAACAACAACACATGAAACAGTAAACCAGGCACCATCCAACCACATTTCAGAGGAAATCACTTCCACTCAGTCATCTGCCAGAACTGCAAGGAGACCAAAAGTTTTTCTCTGGGCTCTAAACATATTCGTCCACCCCATTACTTCCACCAACTGCAGCACATTCCTGCCTTGCAAACATGAACCTTACACAGAAGCTCAACTCCCTGCAAAGAGATTTCTGAGCAGCAGAGATCAGGCACTGGTGAGCAAAGATACAGCTGCTCAGGTCTCTGCTGGAGGTGGCAGTAGGAGGCCTGGTGTAGTCCCCAAGAACCTTCAGAGGTCAAAAGGAAAACTCATCATAGAACATACGTTTATCACAGACACGCAGTATCTGAATGAAAGTGACAAAACCTCATGGCAAAATGTCCAGCAAAGGTCAGATCTAGCCCTGCCTCTCACTTCTACCCCTCCCTGCTCACACTGCCACAGCAGGATCATGCACCATGGTGGAAGCCCCAAGCACGACCACCACAGTCACCCAGTGAGGGCTCTCTTATGGTGCTAGCAGCCAGTTCCAGCACCAGGAACACTCCCTGCAAGCTCAGGCCTGGGAACAGAAGAACGAGAGAACCCTGGCAGAGCACCAGGGTCACAAACGAGGAGGAAAGAGGGGAAAAAACAGCTCTCAGGGCTGATCAGGGATTTGCAGCCAACGCCAATGTAAATTGCGCTCAGGGCAGATGGCAGTTCTTGCTCCAGCTGTAAACGCCCGGGAACAAGGACTGCTTTTTTGCCCTTTTGCAAAGCGTTTAACACATGCACACAGGGAGCCTCGGCCAGATGGAGGGCTACGAGACAGTGGCAGGCAGGAGAGACAGCCTGTCATACAGCAGCACTGCTGATGTTTAGTGATGAACGGCAACATGAGCTACAAGGTGGTCTTTCTTTCCACCTTCCAGTTAGCCCGCTGGATCGTGTTAGCCGCCTGCTTCTTATCAGACTTTACAGCTCCCCCTCACCACTGCTCAATTCCATCATGCCGTCACTTAACTTGTGCATGTAATTTAAAGCCAGATAGACAGCGGGGAAATTGCTTCCTCTGAGGCCCCTACTAATTGACCCCTATCCACAGAGCTCAGCAGTCTTCCCTTAACAGCGCTCGCACGCGCTACGGCAACACGAAGTGCAAGTTCGGAGGTTGCCAGCGCAGCCTCTCTCCCCCGTGGCAATGCCATATGGTGTTAAGACTTTCAGGATCAGACGCCGTTCCTGCTGAAATCAATCATCACAACCTATCCCTGGAGAAGGCCATCTCAAAATCCCACTGGCTTGAAGCGCAGCTCAGCCAAGTGCCTCGGATTGGGAGGCTGGTATTGACTCAATCAGGTTGGTATGCAAACGCTCACTTTAATAGCGCACATATCAATTAGCTGGGCTGTTACAAAGGGAGCAAGTGGTGCCCGCTACGATGACAGCATGCCTAAACAGCTGATATTTCACATTTGGCAGGACCCTTCAGCCCCTGCCAACACAAGTCAGCCTCTCTGCCTGAACTTGCTGTTACGCTAATGAAAATGAGCACTGGGGCAACTGCGATTCACACACTGAATGGGGTTCGCTTAGAAGAGAAAAGGATGTGAACTACCAACAGGCACCTAATCTTCAAAACCTGCAGCAGAAGTCACAGACGTGCACCAATCAGAGGAAAATAAGTAGTCTCTATGGGTAAATAAAGATTATGTCTCTTTAAACCAACTGTAAATCTGAATGAACACAGAATATACATACACAAGTAGGCAGCGTGCAACGTGACGTCAATCTGATTTTTATAGATTTATTATTGCTGTACATAAAATTTCCTAGTAATAATAACATTCTATGAAAAATACTAGAGCATTGGGACACTTTTAATGTAAAAACAGTACAAGAAAAGTAGGAAAAAAATTTCAAGTGTTTTAAAAAAAATGCTGGGTGAGAAGCATTTCATGAAAAATGCAAGGGTCAGGAAGTGGAAAGCATTCAAGTGAATCTGTCTTCAACTCCATATACTATCTTTGAGAGTTATATCCTGCGCCTTCATTGCACCAGTAGAAGAGATTTAAAGGAAAAAGAGAGAAATGGTTTCTGTGGGGTCAGCCAGTTTACAGTTTATTGGTATTTTTCTAATTTTTTTCATTTGTTTTTAAACATGCTTCCACCCCTGCTGTAAATCACCCCTGCACTTTGCAGCCACTGTCGAGCACAATTCACGAGTCATCTAAGTGTGTAGTGGAACGTGAGCCCCTCAATCCTTGACGCATATCCATGGGTGTGTGCCAACCGAGGTGCTAGGGGATCATCCACGCAGAGCAGTGGATTCCCCGGGAGCACAGGCCAAGAGTCGCTCCTGGCACTCTCTCTGCAGGGAGGCTGCCCTTGCCCACCCCCAACACCAACACCGCTGCCACAGAGCCCTCCTGGAGGCCCTGTCACCCTCTGACACCCTTCCAGCTGCTGGCCGTACAGCCAGAGCACTGCTGCTGCACCTGTGCTGTAGGCAGCCCTTCTGTCACTTTATTAATTTTAATTCCTTATAAAGAAGAAAGAAGACATAAGGAAAACACCATGTAAATTATTCTTCCTCACTCACTGACAGACCACACCTCTGTAAAGAAATTAGCCACATCCTGTGACAAAACTTTGTGATGGGCCATGACCTGCAGAGAAGTGATGCCTTACTGGCATCTCCACAGCTGGAAAGAGAAACCTGTTTCCTTCGAGTCACAGTACAGCAGCAGAGGAGCTTTTGTGTTTATGTATCTGACAGAGCACAAACAGCAGAGCAAGAGGGGGAAAGAGAGAATGAAGAAAAGAAGCAAAGGCAGGTGGTTATAAGAGCACAAGTGGCTAATTAAACCATGGGTTTTACTAGTCACAGTGGTTAAACAATTTTAATGGGAGGCTTTCTCATGGCACGCCTGAAAAGTTTTTAACACTACCGAACACCTTTGTCAGGAGCAAGGAACTTCTGGAAATGTGCTCAGAGATGCACACAAACCCATAGGAAGATCTGATAATGTACAAATTCGTTTCTTTCAGAGATAGCTCACTTTCTGTACAGATCGATAAACCATCAGAACCTATCATTTATCACAAACATTAAATCCCAGCAGCACCCTGGTTTGCAAGCCTAATGAGGGAACTTGGCACACAAAGGCACTCTCAGTGCTGGGTAGTATGGGGGGAACTCTCTATGCCTCTGGTTCAGGGAGTCTCTTTTAGGCTATACTCAGCATTAACAGACTAGGGTGTTAACTATCCTTTTTGCAAACTTGCTGCAAAATCAGCAAAGGCATATTACTGAGAAAAGCAAGAGCTGAATCAGTTTCTATCCCCTGGGAAGTCCATCCTGGTTTTTGTGTTAGCGATGCTGGGTCACCATTCACAAAAAAAGAAAAAAAGAACTAAAAGGATGCAGAGCTACAAATGAAACTTTCAGCAAGGACAGTTCACTCTTGCAAGAAGGAATTAATTAGTTGTTTTGATGAGGCTGGTTAGGAAAGAGTTAATGCTATCAGCCAAATGTCAGTGAACCCCCAAATGTTGCTTTTGTCCCATGACAGTGTCAATACCAACACTATTATCTCAATTTGTTTAACACAGAACAAATTAATTGGCTCTAAGTGTTGCTTTTTCCCTGGAATCCCTCATCCCATCTCTTCTTGGAGAGAGCTCCTGCGAGCAATGTGCAAGGGAATAAACCGCTATGCAAACACACACAGGCACACACACACACACAGAGGGAAGTTGCAATTTCTCACTTAGTTGCTGATTTCTGTGCCTACAAATCTTGGTGTCACCCGCCACACACTACTCCTCTGTACTAAATCCATCATCCTCGACACCTTCAGACGCATCTGAGATGTGTGTCGAACCAGCAACACTATAATTTTTATAATGACAAGGAATTAAGTATGATTACTAGTCTTTCCTCTCACTTGTTTCCTTCCCCTAACGATACCATCCAATTGCCATTTTCCTCACGGTTGTGTATTTTGGTTCCCATTGTCTGTCGTACCCAATACAATAACTGAAATGTCTGCGACACGGGATCTGCCTGTCTCTCGTACGTCTAGCAAATCTGAAAACCTGTTGTTACAGCTTTGGGGAACACAATACATTGTCAGTTCCGAGGAAACGTTGTAAAAATAACTGTACATACAGTTCAGTCAGAAATTAGTTCAGTCATACCTGTGCTATTCTTCCATTGTGTTTAATACGCCACGAGCAGGTTATTTCATAAAAGGCATTGCCAAAGAGATCACTTGCGTGCGTTTCACCTACTGCTGGGCTCCGTGGCCCGTTGTCTGTCTGGGACACATTGCTACCAGCCAACCTGGAGAAGAACTTGCCATTGCTTTCCCTGAACTTCTGACAGCGAGAACCTGGTGTTCAGCTAAAACTTTCCCTTTCCCACCTCCCCGCTCCTACAAACCGCCCCGAATCGTCATGATTGCCATTAATTAAAACAAGAAAAAAAAAAAAAAAAAAAAAAAAAGAGGAGAGAGAAATTTTTTTTTAAAAAATAAGAAAAAGAAAAAGGAACCAGAGAGCCAGCAGTCTTATGGAAACAGCACGGCAGGTAAACCAGGTTAGCATCGTTCCGTCACGGCCACGAGCTGGCGGGGCGGGGGCCGGCGCCCCCCGGCCGTCCCTCCTCGGCCCGGGGCCGGGGGCCAGCGGCCGGCTCGGCGGGGCGCCGCGGGAGGCGGCGTTTCTCTTCCCTGCGGGGCGGAGAGGGGCGGGCGGCGGGGCCGCGCCGCGGGGAGCCGCGCCCGCGGCGGGGGCTCCCTCAGAGCCTGAAGGAGGCCTCGGAGAAGGGATGCTGCATCTTGAAGCTAGACAAGAAGCACTGGAGGGGCGGGGGCAGGGGGTTGAGGAGGGACGGCGGGAGGCTGGGGAAAAAGAAATCATCTCCTCTGACCTCTAACGAAGTGCCCGGTTTTTTCTTAAGCTCTTCACATTTCCTAAATTTGCAGATCTGGTGTCCCGTTTTGCGGTTCCTGCAACTGCTGCAGACTCCACAGTTGATGAGCCGCTTGCAGGGCACGCACACCCCGCAGCGTTTCCGCTTCTTCTTGGCGGGGTTGCCCGCCCCGGCCCCGGCCCCGCCGCCGGTGCCGCCGGCCCCCCCTCCGCCTCCGCCGCCACCGCCCCGCGCCGGCGGCGGCGCCCAGGGCGGAGGCGGGCGAGGCCGAGGCGTGGCTCTGCGGGCAGTCCGCCAGGTTGGCGATCTGGAAGGCGCTGTCTGTGACGGCGGCCGAGGCCGCGGCGGGGGAGTGCAGGGCCGTCATGACGATGACCCCGGGGGGCAGGGAGAGGCCGCCCAGCGCCGGGATGGCCGAGAAGGTGCCGACGCGGTCGGGGAGGTTCATGATCTCGGCTTCGGCGGCGCCGCACTTGAGCTTGTTCATGCACTCGCCGGCCAGCGGCCGGCAGTGCTCGGGGGCGAGGGTGGAGAGGAAGTTGCCGTTGGCCATGGGCAGGGCGGGCTGCTCGGCCGGCGGGCAGCCGGGCTTGCCCAGCCGCTGCGAGTCGCTCCGGTGGTGCATGCCGCCCCTGCCGGCGTGCAGCGAGGAGGCGGCGGCGGCGGCCGCGGAGGCGGCGGCGGCGGCGGCGGAGGAGGAGGAGGAGGAGGGTTTCCTCGCGCCGCCCGCCGCGCCGCCGCCGCCGCCGCTGCCCCAGAGCATGGCGGTGGCGGCGGCGGCCGTGGCGGTGTCGCAGTTCCAGGGGGACATGCCGATGCGGGCGGCGGCGGCGGCGGCCGCGCTGGGGAAGATGGGGGTGGTGATGCGGGCGATCTTGGCCGCCTGGGGGAAGGCGCCGCCGTTGGTCTTGTAGAAGGTGGCGAAGGAGCGGTACCTCTCCATCTCCGAGTTGTAATCCACAAGGCTGTTGAGGGCCCCCTCGGGCAGGTGGCTGTCCTTGGGCAGCCCCGGCGCCTCGGGGTTGGGGCCGCTCTCCACGCACACGTTGGTGTTCATGGTGGCCGGGGCGGGGGGGGCGGCGGGAAGGGGGGGTGGGGGTGTCGATTAATCCTCCTCCGGACGCATCCCCGCGGTCGGTGCTTGGCCGGGCAGCCGCTCCTCCGGCATCCTCACGGGAGCTGCCGCAGCTGAAACACAAAAAGTCATTTCCGAGGGGGTGCGCGCGCGCGGGGGGCGCTGACGGCCGCCCACGGCCACCCCGGGGAGGGGGGGGCGCACACGGGCGGGGGACACACGTCGCCGTAGCCGCGGGCAGAGGGCTCGCAGCGCCGGCCCGGGCGGAGCAAACCCTGTCCCGGGACAAGGCGGGGGGCGGGGGACACGACACGGGGGTCGGGAGCTGCCCACCTACCAGCACCGGGGAAAATGAAAAGGCAGGGAGAAAAAGCGGCGGGGGGGGGGGGGGGGGGAGGGGGGGGGGGGGGGGGGGGGGGGGGGGGAACCAAATAAAAGGAATTAGAAAAAAAAAAAATGAGGGAGGGGGGGGAGGGAGCCGCCAGCTGCCACGGTGTCCTTCTGAGCCCGGCGGTCATTAGCTGCCTGCCGGCACAGCTGGCTCCGCCGGGCGCTGGTTGCGGCGGCACCGGCTTCCCCGGCCCCCCCGCCGCCTCCGGGTACGGGGGGGACTGACTGCAGGCCGCGGGGGGCACGGGGCTAGGTTTAAAAAAAAAAATACTTAAGCAATTTCACAGCTTGTGATCCCGGCGCCTGCAGCTGTACTAACGACGGAGTATTTATCCCAGCCTCTCGGGGAGGATTCCCCGTCACCGCCGCCGGGGGCTGCGCAGGGAGGGCTGGGGACACACACACCGAGACGGGGACAGCCCCTCTGTGGGCGCCGCGGGGCAGGGGGCTTCGCCGAGAGACAGCCCGGGAACGCTCGGGAGGGCACGTCGCTGTACCTGCTGAACTAACCCTCATCGGGGAAAGATGGCTTTCTGCTCCAGGCTAGGAAAGTTTAGGAGGGGGCTAAGGACACGGCGTCCGTTTTATTTCCTACCTCCCCCTTTCTCCCCCAGGGAGGTGAAGGGGGGTATTTTAGTTCATGGCAATGAGGAAGGTATATTATGGCAGCCTGCGCGAACTAAAGCAAAACATAAGCATAACTTAAAAAGCCCTCAGTTTATGAACACTGCCTCTTTGTTTTCCAGATGCTCTACCTGAATAGTTCAGATATTTCCAGCATCTTTTCTGATGCAGGGCTATCAGAAACGCTCACTCGTGGGGCTACGTCTAGTTTCCAGACTCTGGTATGTTTAGTTCAAAATGGTTATCAATTACGGTAATTACGATCATAATTAGATTAATGAACCGTTTGCAGCCCAACCTACCGAGTGCAAAAACTTCGTCTTCTCCCAACGTCGTGCACTGAAAGCGGGCTTTATGTAAACAAATCCAGATGAAGGGAGCGTAAATCTACAGAAGGAACCTCACCCCCGGCTGCACTGGGGACTGGCGGGCGGCCTTCCCTCGGGAAAAAAAAAAAAAAAAAAAAAAAAAAAGACCCCGAGCTCGCAGGAGCCACCTCTGTGTTTCCACGTCAGGGAAAAACCCAGACTCTCGCTGCCTTCAGAGGTCTAGTGGCAATACAAAGGCTGCCCCGGAAAGCTCTAGGCTAAGCGTCGTCTTGTGGAGGGATGCGAAGGATTTGCTTACAGCAAAAAAAAACCCTCTCCCGTTTCCAGAAAGGAAAACCTAGCTGCATGTCCTCGATAACAACTACTCAATAAAACTAGTTTTGCCAGCCATGTGTATTAAAGCCACGCATCTGGTAAGGAATAAAATGTTAGCGTTCAGCCCTTTATGCCAGAAGTCATATGCATTTTCTTGCCCTATTTCCCCCAGCATTAAACTGGCTTCTCTCCACAAAACCTTCCCTCCCTGGCTACCTTTTCTCTCCCCGCGATCCCCTCTCAGGCTTTATTGCCACCAGCAGCGAGAAAATGATGGTGCCCACCAACCGGGTCATTATTGTTTAATCGATGCATCTCCGGAGCATGAAAAGGGTACCCGAGACGCAGTTATTGATTTCCCTCCCCCTCTAACTATCGCCCTCTTTTCCACGAATGAAATAAATAAATAGAAATTGCTAGCCGGGCTTTGCGATTCTGTCCCTGCTTAAGCTAAATGTGACCGTACGTGTTCAATATTGCATGTCTGCTCTGCCAAAGACAGAGAGATCAAAGGTCATATTTAAGATTCAGGAGGAGGGGCGGGTGCAGATTAATTAATAAATTAATATAGCGACGCCTTTTATTGCCCAAGTCTAGTATTAATCTACTTTTACGATCCCAGATAACAAGAACAACAGAAAAAAAGAGCACCCGACAAACCTACAAAATTTAAAAAAAAAAAAAAAACAAAACACAACCAAACAACCCATCCCTCTAAAAAACCCCCACAACTAAAACCCGAAACCACACACACAAAAAAACCCAAAAAACAAAAGGAAAAAAACCCGCGAAGAATAAGGGGGGGAAAGATGAGGGGGGAAAGCAAACCAGTCACTTACCAGGCTCTTTATTTGGGGGGGCTTGAGTGTGCAGACGCTACCAGCCTATCTGCCTTTAATTAGTTGCACATCAGTCCCTAACACAAAGAAGAAGAAGAAGAAGAAAAATATCCAGATGTGCCTTGGCAGCTCCTCAATTACAACTTTGATACTTGTAAACAAACTGCGAGGGGCGGTGGGGAAGGTGGGGGNGGGCGCGCCCCCCGCGCTGCGCCCCGCCACCCTCCCCGCGGGCGGGCGCGGAACTGCCGGCAAACTTTGTGCCCCGGGAAGTTTGCGGAGGGGAGCGGCGGTGCCCCCGCCCGGGCCGGCGGGCTGGAGCGGCAGGCCGGTGCCCCGGGCAGCGCACGGCCACGCAGCGTGTCATTTCTCACGCGCGTTCGCAGATCTCTAATGACTGCCAACCCCCGCGTACGCTATGATTTTTTTTTTCAGACGCGTGAGGTGCTGCAGATTTCAGGCACGTTCAGGCGAAATAGAGCCAGCTGAACCGCGGATGTTACACAAGTGTCTCGGCATTGACTAGAAGTTCTTTCCCAACATTTGCCCTTTGCAGGTGCCAGAGCTCAGGAGGCGCATGGCACCTGTCCGGGCACCTGTCCGGCATCTGTGCGGGCAGGCCACGCAAATCCCACACCTGAACTGCCAGCATTAAAACGGATCTCTGAACAAGCTGCTGACGTACAGGTACTGCACGCAAACACAACACAGTTCCTTAAAGAATTTCAGCAAACTATTTTAAAAAAACACCAGCCAAGCCCACCTGCCTTTCCCGGAGTTCTTGCAAGCACAAAAAAAGGCCTATATTCACTGAATAAATTATGCATTGCAAGTTCTTCATCCAGCCCCCCTTGGTACCTCCAGAGTGAGCGCTGGTACTTACAGAGCCGCTGCTGCAGCCTGGTGCTGCCAGCCTGGGCACTAAGCAGTTAAGAAATGGATGTTTCTGCCAAGAAAATAATTTTAACCATTCGTAAATTACAGAAAAAGAAGGGAAAATCACACTGTTTCATTGGTTTTATATGTAAGTAAATGAAGGATTTATTTGCAGACTGAAGTTTTATTTCCTTCTGCTCCAAGCTGAATTCAAGCTTGGGGTGCTCAACTCTACAGAATTACCCAAGGGAGAGGACTGCAGGAGCCTCTCCTCAGGAGCAGCAAGACAAGGTGGATTTGAGCAGCGGGGCTCGGCAAGGACCAATGCTCGTGGCCAATGCTCCATCAAGCGAGACTGACTGGTACAGATGAGGGACAGTTTTGGTCAATCAGGTAGGTTGAAGATCTGCAAGAAGTCGTGCCCCTGGCATTTGTGTTATGGATTTGTACGCTTCATTTGGAAGCAGTATAGTTTATCTAGTTAATTAGCTGCTTCTAACCATACGATATGCATTTTGAAATACCCCCGAACATGGATTTACATAATAAAGCATAACCTCCCAACAAGCTAGCATCATCTTTTCTGACAGTTCTGCTGCCTTTTTCAAAGTCTTTTTCTGTTTTGATACATTTTAACACAAACTTATGGGGCGGGGGGAAATACAAATGAGGGGAAACAGTGTTTCAGTAATGTCACAAAGTGACAAAAAACAAGAGCTTTTCCTGTTGAGGTTCATTCCCTACCACTTTTCTCCCAAATTAGTTGTCAAAAGCCATATGCAATACTCCAAACACTGAGGACGTTTTTCAAACACAGACTTCTCCTGAACTCCAAACTTCCTTTAATCACAACCTGTGTCTCACTTAAGCAATCCTTTCTGAGTTAATTTATTACTCTTGAAGGAGTTACATTTTTAATAAGCTAAAAGAGGAAAAGGGGAAAACTCTGATAATCTTTTCTCATGCATAAGGAAGACCATTTCATGTATTTTTTGTCATGTGAATTAAATTGCAGTGCTATATTTAACCTTTCTACTCCAGCCTGTAAAGTTGTACACTTTTTTGGTGCTGGGGAAGAAGTGTGGTATCCAGCTCAGATATTTGGGGGCTATTTTTTTTTTTTTTTTCTGAAACCTTTTGTTTAGTAGAGTTTGGGGGCTTTTGTTTGTTTGTTTGAGGGGTTGTTTTTTTTTTTTTTTTTGGGGGGGGGGATGGGTGGGGAAGAGAGGAATTTCTGGATTGTGTTTTGGTTTTGGATACAAATCTGTTTTATCCTGCAACCTGCCCTCAGCCTGGGGGCTGTTGTGTTCAGGAGTCTATCGGTGAGGTAGCTACAACTGTCTCATGATGGAGTCCTAAGAAAGCAATTCCAGATCATCCTTTTCACCATAATCTGTGCTTTCATGGGAGGAACAGAAAGTTAAAAATCACAGGCTCTGATTTTTGTTCAGAAACTACTCCTATTTCCTTTTTCTCAGGAATGCAGATAGAGCAGTATGTTGTGACATGGAAACATGGGAACTGCCCTGCCTTTGTAAATATTGATGTTGTTCTGAAAGAAAGTTGCATAAAAGAGAAACAAACTGAAATTCACATTCAGTTCTTGTTCATTCTATTCCTGACTCTAGTGTGTATCTACAAAGTGACCACTGTAAACCTACCCAGATCCATCAAGTCTTACAAGCATTGTACCAGAACTAGAAAAAGGAGGTGAAGCAAGCCCTTGGGGAATTCAGCAGTTCATTAGACTGCGAGCTGGAGTTTTGGGGGTTTTTTTCCTAATATCATTACTCTTTCCTTTCTTGTGCTCTTTTCCTAGGCTTCTTAAAGCTCATGGATCCACTGTCAGGGCTAGACTCTGACCCTGTTGCTGTGTTTGGGTTCCTTTCTGCTGGGGCCAAGAGCTCTAAACCGGACATGCTGCAATTCTGCTTCTCCTCTGGGTGGTCCACGTGGCACACATCCTGAGCAGGCTAACCTTGGGGTGTGGGCTTTTCTTACAGAAGAATTGTGGATGGGGACAGGAAAAGTAGCTACCTCTGCTCCCCTGCCTTTCTCATGAGGAAATCTCCTGCCTTGAAATGTAAATAGTAGGTTTTCATTCAGGACCAGGTCCTTTTACCTGCCTTCAGCTTTGTGCCACACCCCTTGATGAAAATGGAAATAGTATCTCAGCTGTTTTCCACTCTCAGGAAGAAACACATTTCTGGCACAGCCTTTCTTCTAGCACCAGTCTTGTGGGCACTGAATATATGGCCCTTTCCTTCTTAGAAGGGGGTAAATTAAAAAAGAGATGCAGAAGTTTTCTCAAAATTCCCAAACCAAATTATTTTTTACTTCATTGGGGCAAGAAACACAGGGAAACGTCTTGTACACCATCCACAGCCTTAACAGCAGACCTGCACCCCATTGCCTGCAATCCCTTATAGCTTTTTAGCATCCTTTGAGCTACAAGTTATTTCATAGACCTGGGCTCCAGTCTAACCTGAAAGCTGTCTGTCTGCATTGCCATGATACAACACCCAGCTCCTCTTGAGCTGCAGTTCACCTCTGTGACTTACAGCAGTGTTAGTCTCCTTCCTTCCTTCCTTCCTTCCTTCCTTCCTTCCTTCCTTCCTTCCTTCCCTCTCTTCCTCCCCCTACATGCCATTCCTCCTCATAGTTGCAGCCAGACACACATCCTATTCACCTCCCTCATACCTGCCCCTCTTGATTTCCACATGTGCAACCCATCCCAGCTCCCTGACAAAGGCGGGTGCTTCACTGCTTGCCAGCTACTGTGGAATTCTTGTATCAGTAAAGGGAAGGACCAGGCACAAACTGGTTTTTGTGTACTGCAAGAAAAGACACCTGAGAACTGCTAAAAAGTGCAATCTGCCAGCAAAAATCAGAGTAAATCCCTCCATTAGAATTCCTTGCTTTCATCCAATATTACTGAAAACTACTCTCCTTTAGTTTGAAAGGAAATGCAGTGATTACCCCCTATTACAGACACCTACAAATATTTACTAAAATAATGTAGCAGAGGGATTTTTTTGAAAGTTATCACAGCTTAAACATTCCCATTACTTTGAATGTGGTTTGATTCTGCTTCAGGTACAGATGCTTTCCTGATGCTTCCTAGGCAGGAATCCAGATTGCTGATCCCCAATTATGCCGACTCCCAGAGGGCTCGATCCATCACTGATGCGAGTCAACAATGCAGCTCTGCATTTGATAGGATGCTGCCAGATGAGAAACAGCAGTGCCCAGGAAAAAGAAAGCGCACAGGGAACCTTATTGTCTCGATACTGGGACTCTGACAGGACAGAGATGGAGAGCTCTGAAATCTGGGTCCAAAGAGCTGGCTGCTAGAACAACCTGGATTTCCTTAGATCAACTCAGTACCTCCAGGTGTCTCTCCCCTGTGACTGACAGCCCATGTCAGTTCTACAGTTTCATTTCTTTATGGTTCTTAAGAACCACCCGTTATTGGAGGGGGACTGGAGTGGCTTTTACCCTGTGAATGCTGTATGAATCTAAATGTCAAGCCAGAGATGTCATGCCAGCAACTAACAAGGGGCTTTAGAATAAGCATTCCC